CAGGTTCTTCATCCACATCAAGCATATAGAAGAAGGCTGGGGATTTGAATCCCCTGCACAAGTTCATAGTTACAAAGGTGTAGAGCTGATGCCCGTGAACTGCATAGCTTACATGCCTCACAGTTATGGGTTAAGAACAAGTCTGTTGTATGTAGAGGTTGTAAGTGGATGGAGTATTGTAAAAAATGTCATCCAGAAGTCAAGTTATACTTTTATGGGCTACTCTTCCATAACCTGAAGAAGAACACGTGTCCAACCTGAGCCCCTCCCCCAGACGGTAAAGGTCCTGTGGACCCAGGCTGGTGCCCTGGCAGGGTTCCTCACTCCACCCCAAGTGTTTCATGTTTTTCCTATCTTGGATCTTGGGCAGCCCGGGCTGAGGCCACCCCTCCCTGGGCATTTCATCCACTGGAAATTGGCCTGTCTGCTTTGTTTCCATTTAGGAGGTTTGTAGATTGAGAAACAGAATCTGCACTGAGCTTTCATTGTGTTTTCCTGGTATTGGATGACAAGGTTTCTTTTAAAACATGGTTAGATTTCTGAATGTGCTTTTTGGACATGGTTCTTCAGGAGTTCCCATTACTAAGTGATTTCATTGCACTGAGAACACTATTGTAAAAACAGCGTTTGGAAGGTTCTTTTGTTAGTGTGGAAAATGGCATAATAAATAAGCTTGTATACCCTGTCTCTCTCTCTCTCTCTCTTTTTCCTTTGTGTGTGTGTGTGTGTGTGTTGGTACTGGGACTTGAATTCAGAACCTGGGCTTGAGCTTTTTTGTTCAAGATTAGTACCCTACCGCTTGAACTGCTAGGTTTTTCATGGTTAATTGGTGATAAGTCTCAGGAACTTTCCTGACTAGGCAGGATTTGAACCGCAATCCGCATGTCTCAGCCTCCTCAGCTAGGATTACAGGCATGAACCACTGGTGCCTGGCTTTATTTACCCTGTCTTAGACTGGTGAAAGTCAAGGATTCTCAATGGTTTTAAATTAATGATTCATTTTAGTGCAACATTTTGTGTTTTTTCTTCCTTTTTTGTCGGTCTTGGGGCTTGAACTCAGGGCCTGGGTGCTATCCCTCAGCTCTTCAGCTCAACACTAGCTTTTCACTTAAGCCACAGTGCCACTTCTGGCTTTTTCTGCTTATGTGGTGCTGAGGAATCGAACCCAGGGCCTCATGCATGCAAAGCAAGCACTCTACTACTGAGCCGCATCCCCAGCCCCATTTTGTATTATTTTTTAAATTAAAAACAGATTTGTTGTCTAATAAAGAGAATTGAATGTTTATGATTTTCTCTAATTGGCCTTTGCTTATAACTGGCCTTGCCACCATGGATGCTCAGTGTTACCTGTTTCCTTCCTTCCTTCCCTCTTTAATTTTTTCCTTCTTTTTTTTTTGTTTTTGATTTTGATTTTAGTGGTACTTGGACTTGAACTTGGAGCTTTGCCCTTGTTAGGCAGGCCTTGCCTAACTCTGGTCTATGCTCCTTCTGAACCATGCCTCCTATGAGCCATGCCTTCAAGCCCTTTTTTGCAGTGGTGATTTTTTTTAGAGTTTTTCCTCTCCTGCCCCAGCATGTACCTGGACTACAGTCCACCTATTTCAGGCTTCTTACTGTGGATAGAATAACAGATGTGTGCCAGTGTACCTACCTATGCCCAGCTTCTGTTGAGACCAAGTTTCACTGATTTTTCTGCCCAGACTGGCCTGGAACTGTGATCCTCCATGTTGCTAGAATTACTGGCGTGTGCTACCATGCCCAGCTTTCTTCCATTTCTTTTCTGGTCCTTCCCTGTTTGGTGAGACCCTGAATGAGAGGTGGACTTTCTTGTCTCTCTTAGGTACTTTGTTGTTGTGTGGGCTCATCAGTTGTCATGTTCATCGTGCGCTATGTAACTTCTGCTGATCTCTCTGTCATGTGGGCATGCTTTGCTTGATTTATTTACTTATTTATTTATTTTTGTTTCATCCAGGTCCAGCCTGGTGCTTTAGCAAATACTGTGTTTGACAGTGTGTATGAAATATTCTCTGGAATGTTTTTCAATCATGATGTCATGATTATGAAGTTGAGGGGGCTTTTGCCAAATCTTTGATTCTGTGTGTGTGTGTGTGTGTGTGTGTGTGTTGATACTGGAGTTTGAACTCAGGGTCTTGGGTTTGTGTGGCAGATAGTCTGTCACTTGAGCCACACCCCTAGCCACATTTTTCTTTGTTTATTTTCTGGATATACTCTCAAGTTTTTGCCCTGCTAGACTGAACTATGATCATCCTAACTAGTCCTCCTGTGTAGCTGGGTTGACAGTCATTCTCCACAATACTTGGCTTGTTGGATGAGGTGAGTCCTCACCAACCTTTTTGCCTAGCTAGCCTGGCTTTGAACTGAGATCTTCCTATTCTCCTCCCCCCTCAAGTAGCTTGGTTTACTGTCATATGCCAGTATACTTGACTTTCAAATCTTTCACTCTCTGAGTAGACACTGTAAATAAAGTACTAAAAATTAAAATTAAAAAAAAGGCTTACTGACTTTTTTCTCCTTAGCGATGGGCACAGATCTAGATTCTGTCATGGAAGATGCCTTTTGCTCCTTTGCCACCTCGTATTTGAGGGCCTTTGTCTCCTCAGGGAAGGAGTGACATTGTGCCCTGATGCACACCAAGGTCTTTGATAGCCTAGACATCCAGTTCTTCTCATCACCATTCCTCCTCGGCCTTCGTGCCAAGTGGTGGCAGAATGTATCCTGACCCTCTGGGTAACTCATAGTTTTAAAAGCAAAGTTTTCAGAGGTGACCATTTATAGCATGAGCAGAAACTGAGGAAGAGCACAGTTTGAAGGCTTCTGGAAGAGCTAAGCTGTCATTTGTGTCTGTGGCATTTGGAACTGTTGAGTCAATACCTACTGGCGAGTGTATGAAGCTGGTGAGTAGGTGCTGAGTCAGAAACCAAAACATTTTCATTGACCTTGTCCACTTTCAGTTTTTCCTCTGGAAACTCTTATCCAGGCTGTGAGACTGTGGGTTTCCATAGCCACTCTCCCTTGACAACTGTCTGTTGTATGTCCTGTTGGGCAATGCATCGCATCTTGTATCATGGGAGCCACGTGGGATCCGTAGAACATGGTATCCTCATGGTGTCTGTGCAGGGCTCGGGAGCCAGGCTGGGCTGAAGGTGAAGCATACCATGGTTATTGGTGAAGTGATGGCACTGCTGGTCTATGCCAGGCTATGAAGATGAGTCAGTTGACTGCTTGGAGGTGCTCCTGTATAAATCTTCTCTTACACTGAGAGACACTGAAGCCAGCAATGGGGATTCTCAAACTTGAGAGGGTCTTAGCATTTCTTTGAGGGCCTATTAAGATGGAGATTCTTGGAACTCTCTGCGATCAAAGGTGAGGTCTGAGCACAGCAGGTGCTGTTGGTAGCTCTTGGATTTCAGAACCTAGCATAAAAGATGTGCAATTTGCCTTCTTAAACTGTGCTGGACAAGGAGTGTTGAGCCTGGGTCGAGGTCTCTTCCATGTATTTCCCTGTACAATGCCCTGCTGATTTGTATGGGAATGAAGGACAACCATGTGGTTATAATCTACCAGAGGTGGGAAAGAGATTTGGGGTCATCCACATAGAAACCCAGCACCATTGTCTTTATTGTAGGCTGAGCATTGATTTGTGGTTTGACAAAAACTATCAGAGAAGTGTCTGGTCTTTAAGGAAAAGGTTAAAAAAATCTACACAAAGGGACTGGGAAGGTGGCTCAGTGGTAGAGTGCTTGCCTTGCATGCCTGAGGCCCTGGGTTCGATTCCTCAGCACCACATAAGCAAAAGGAAAAAAAAAGCTGGAAGTGGGGCTGTGGCTAAGGTGGTAGAGCAGTAGCCTTGAGCTGAAGAGCTGAGGGACAGCACCCAGGCCCAGAGTTCAGGCCAGGACGGGACCAAAAAAAAAAAAAAAAAAATCTACACAAAGTTGTTCACAGTGAGAACTACTAGGGAAAAATTTCAACATACTTAGGAATATCTGTTTTGTAGAAACAATAAGGAAACATTCTAGCTTTTCAATAAAGACTGTTTCCTGAGAGACAGTAATGGGGAGCCCTGGGCTTAGTTGGAATTTTTAGCTTTCCATATAATTGGAAATTTAAAATCACATGCTTGAAAACTTGGAGATGTCACTAAATAAGACTGTTATAAGATCACCCTACATAGTAGTCTAAATGTGTGAGGACACTGCGCCTAGAAACAGTTGTAGACTTGGTACTCATTGAGTGGAGATACCATTGCAGAACACATTTCCTTTCTCTCTCAATAGCTAACAATTTTGCTAAAATTTAAAATTCCAGGCTAGGAATGTAGCTTAGTGGTAGAGTGCTTGCCTAGCATGCATGAAACCCTGGGTTTGATTCTTCAGTACGGTCTGCACAGGGACACCTCCCTACCTCTTGGCTAAGTTTCTGCCCAATATCTGTTACCTAGGTAACTGGCAGACCTGGAAGCAGTCACCTTCCCTTCCTGCTAGGTCACGTGCCTCCCATCTGACTTTAGGAGGGTCCCAGACCAGATCCAGATCCTGATCTGGATCCAGTGTGGCCACACCTTTCCCCCACCTGGCCACACCTCTTCCTGTCCCTGGCCTAGGTAAGTCCTGCTCCCTCTCCCCCCTCCCCATGTTGGGGCAGCCGTTCCATAAATTAACTTCTTTTCCTGCCTGAATAGCGCATGGTGTTCTCTTCATTGGCTACCTAATGAAACCTACCTATTTAATATACCTTACAAATACCACATAAACAGAAAAAGCCGGAAGTGGTGCTGTGGCTCAAGTGGTAGAGCACAAGCTGAGCCTTGAGGCCCAGCAACAGTGCCCAGGCCCTGAGTTCAAGCCCCAGGACTGGGATAAAATAAAATAAAATAAAATAAAATCCCATTTCATAAAACAATATGTTTCTAAAACATCTGCTCAACTTTTGCCTGCTATCTTTGCTTAAACAGAACGTGATGGCCAGTCAAATAGGCACCATAGCCATCAAGCCTGGCCTTTTAGCCCAGGAAGCTGTGTTGAGGATATATGTGCAGGTAAGAAATCAATGAGCTTGATTGAGGCTTGAATGGTACAAAAGAACTCCAGTTCATTTCAAGTATCAATGGGAAAAATTCTGGTAAGAAAATAAATGAAGAAACCATTTGTGATGAGCATTCTCTTTAGGTCTGTGTAATCAGTGTAACCTGCAATCTGGTTACATTGAAATAATGTAACCTGTTCTTGGAAGTGTGATGAGCAAGCCTGGTTTCCTAATCTCTACTGGAAAATGGCACAGGGGCAGAACAGTAGCCCCAGCCCTTCCCTAAGGGGAAGACATGTTCAGTCCATAAGACATACTTGTCTCGGGGCTGGGAAGGTGGCTCAGTGGTAGAGCACTTGCCTTGCATGCATGAGGCCCTGGGTTCGATTCCTCAGCACCTTACATAAGCAAAGAGAAAAAAGCTGGAAGTGGCGCTGTGGCTCAAGTGGTAGAGCACTATCCTTGAGCTGAAGAGCTGAGGGACAGTGCCTAGTCCCAGAGTTCAGGCCCCACAACTGGACAAAAAAAAAAAAAAAAAGACATACTTGTCTCTAAGGGAATTAGCAGAAGTTGGGTGGACAATCATTGAGTCTGTGAATGGGATGTTCTCTCTCTCAGACCTGACCCACATGGCTTCTGTGCTCCAGGAGTGTTTTGACTCCTAATTCAAATGAACTGAATTGTGATCCTGTGGCTTCTCAGACTTTTTTGTATCCTATTAGAATAATTGAGTGTGAGGTACGTACTTTGAAAAGCCCAGACAACTGCTTCAGCCAGTCTTCATTCCGAACTGGGAAATGTTTTTTTTCAGCCCATACTTCCTCTATCACATGATCCAGTGAACTCCCCCCTTCCCCCAGTGTGTCTGACAGGGGCTTGCTCTGGGACTGGGAGGTAACTTAAACATGTGCTAAGCATGGTTTTAGTTCTTTTGAGATCACCCCCTGTTTTTGCACCTCATCTGGCTCTCACAGTTCCATTTAATTACAGCAGTTTCAGTATTTGGCCAAGTCACCAAACCAGGCAACTCTCTGTGGGGAGACTGTGAAGTTGGGACGGGTGTCTGGGCAGAAGTGGGGCTCTTCTGCTTTTCCAGGAATTAGCCCTGTAAATGCACAGGCAAGTTGGCAACCTTCTGGTACTTTTGGAGGGATTTTGGTGGATGCCAAATGGTGCCTAGGTACCGTATGCCTGACAAATGTTAACAAGGGGCTCAGCTTCTCCCGGCATGTGCCTTGGCCTCTTGAGACAGCTTCCAAGTAGGACGAATCTTCTTCTCAATCCAAATGTAGACCCTGGACATCCTCTAGAAGAGGCACTGTAAATACATCTGAGCTGATACTATCCTGGACTTCTTTATAGAAAGAAGTAATTAATAAATGACCTGTAGTTTGTCCAGAGCCTAAAATTTCAGATATTTACAATAACCTGGTTATTGTAAATGTTTTGTCTCAAGCTGGTTTTCCTCTCTCCTCCACCCTTGTGTTCTGGTCCCCTTTATACTGTATGGCTCTTCATTTAGGACTATTTTTTTTTTTTTTTTGTCTTGTTTTGATTTTGAAACAAGGCCTGGCTGTATAGCCCAGGCTAGCCTTGAAATCTGGATCTTCCTGCCTCAGCCTCTGGAGGGCTGGAACCACAGGTGTGTATCATCACACCCAGCCCTAGGGCCACATTTTTCATCCTGTCTTTTACTGGGAAAGTTCATTGAGCCAAAGGATATTCACCTAGCAGGCAGAGGAAGATGCATGCTACTTTTGACTTTGTATTTTGATTTTTCCCTCTTGTGAGCTTTTGACTGAATGCAGTCTTATAAAAAACACATTATTTGCCAGGTGCTGGTGGTTCAACACCTATAATCCTAGCTACTGAGGAGGCTGAGATCTGAGGATCCTGGTTCAAAGTCAGCCTGGGCAGTAAAGTCTGTGAAACTCTTATCTCCAATAAACCACCAGAAAACTGGAAGTGGCGCTGTGGCTCAAGTGGTAGAGGGTTTGCCTTGAGCTGAAGAGCTGAGGGACAGCACCCAGGCCCAGAGCTCAAGCCCCACGACCCACAAAACAAAAAACCGACATTATTTCTACTTTTGTACTGGGTTAAAAACAAAAGGTTAAAAACAAAAATATAATCTAGAGCTGGTTCAGGTGGCTTATGCCTGCAATCCTAGCTTTTCATGAGACTGAAATCTCAGGACTGAGGTTCAAAGCTAGTCTAGTCCAGTGAGACTCTTATCTCCAGGTAATCATCCAAAAGCCAGAAGTGGAAATGTGGCTCAAGTGGTAGTGTCAGCCTTGAGTGGAAAAAGCCAAGTTAGACCAAGAGACCAGAGTTCAAGCCCCCCAGAACTGTCACAGAAACAAACAAAAAACCCCCAAAACATATGGGTTAGAGGCATTTGTTCATTGGTAGAATACCAGTCTTGCCAGCCCCAAACCCTGAGTTCAAACCCCGGTATGTCAAAGAAAGAAAGGGAAAGAAAACCCCTTAAAAAAAAGAAAAACAGGAAACCAACTAAATCCCAATAAGTCATGATTATTATGTGTATAAAAGCTTTAGTTTACAAGAATCACAATTTCTGATGCTACTATAAAAGAAAAGCCCACCTATGTACCTCTACTCCATCTTCTTTTTTTTTTTTCTTTTTCTTTCTTTTTTTATTGTGAAAATACTGTACAGAGGGGATACAATTACATGGGCAAGATAATGAGTACATTTCTTATCAAGCATTGTAGCCTCCTCCTTTGTTTCCCCTTCCCTACTCCATCTTCTTTAAAATCTTCTACTGTGCATGTTCTACTGTCTCATCTAGTAGACTCACACAGTACAGAGCTTAGGTGTGAGTGGTGATTCACGGCAGAGGTGGGAGGTGAGAGCGTTCAGTTACTGGCTCAGTTCTCACCCTGGTAGGTGTGGACACCATGCTGCTGGCATTGCTGCTAGGTGTTCTTTTTTCTCCCAGCTCCTCCCACTTCCCCTGCTTGTGGCCCTTCTTCTCTTCTGCTCTTTCTGCCTTAGGTAGGGGACCTAGGCTTGCTGTGGGGCTTGTCAGTTCTCTGGGGAAGTGCAGGTGGGTTAGCCAGCCTCAGCCAGTGTGGACTACCCATGCTCCTGGAGTGTCTGCCACAGGTTACCCAGGAAACAGGTAATGCAGTCCTGCTCTGCCCGCTGAGGTGTTTGCTATTCTTAAAGCCTCCATATCCAGGGTTTTACACAGATACGTGGAAGAATCTGCATTTTGGCATGATGGGCATCAGGGAAGAGAAGAGAGGTGTGGCTCTTGGACTGTAACCTCTAGAGTGTTTCAGAGAGTTTTTCAGGTTTGGGGACATTTCCTTAGACTCTAGTAGTTGAGTACGCCTTACCTGCAAACCTAAAATCTGAAATATTCCCAAATCAGACATACTCCACAGTGGGAGACTTTTTAAACATCATGTTGGTCCTCCAAAGGTTTTGGATTTCAGAGCATTTTGGATTTTAGTGTGGGTTTTAGTGATGTTCAACCTGTGTGTGAGGCACTGTTTTCAGTCCTTTTATGTGTGCGCCCCTGTATTATACAGTGTGTAACAGGGGAGATGAGCATTCAGAAGCCCAGAGCTGGGATCCAATCCCAGTTTGTGTGATTTAAATCCTTCTTCCCAGCTCTTTCTGGAGAGGGGGAAGGGCTCAGAGCACGTATGTGTTTTACAGGCCATATGGAAGTTTGATGGGCTGCTCAACACTGACAGCCGTTTAAATTAGCTGTGGCGCGGGGATGATGGGTTGTGGACAGCCTCTCCGTATGAAGGGCCGGGTTTGGGCTGGAGATGTGTGTGCAGCCTGTTCCCAGTGCTCAGTGAGGGCCTTGGAGCCTGGGATTCTACCCATTGCTGCTAGGCTGGAAAACATTTCCGACCCTGTGAGGCAAATACACACAGGAAAATAAGTAAAATGGGGCACATTGTTGTACATTTGCATCTACTGCAGAAAAACTAAGCAAAAGTTAAGAAGAAATGCACATATTTTCCCCATGTACCAAAGTCCAGAGAATCTGGCTTTGAATCACAGTCCTCAGATCTCAGCCTTCTGAGTAGCTAGGATTACAGGCATGAGCCACTGGCACCCAGCTTTTTATCCCTTCTTATTTCATAGGTAAGTTTAATCTCTCTGAAGCTAGTGCTCGTATTCTTGGAGGTTTTGACCTTGTCTTTTACTTTTCTTTATTTTCTTCCCTTAGTTAGGCAGGATGGAGTTTAACAGATGGGCATTAAATGTTTATTATGTGAGTATTTCATTGTTCTTTTTTCAGATTACTAGTTTAAAGATAAAGTATGATACCAAATTACTTTTTAGTCTTGTTTCTCCAGGATTCTCCCCTCCGGTCCCCTCCCTTCCCCCTGCCTACCCCTCCTCTCCCTTCCTTCTTTCCTTCCTTCTTCCTTCCTCTCAGCTTTGAACATCTAGTCAAATGCTTTGCTACTGGGCCACACCCTTAGCCCCTCCAAGTTTTATTTAGCTTTATTTACTCCACCCGGGTGCTTTCTTTCCTAGAGCTGTCTTATTGGGTTTCAATGCCAGCCATTTATATCTGAGCATGAAACTCTACCATGGACAGATGTGAATATAAAATGTCTGTCTGCTGTTTGTATGACCTTAGGAGGCTTTTTTTTGTATGGTAGGTGATTCTCCTTTTATCTTTGGCTTTTGGTAATTTTGTGAATGTATTTATACCCTATTATAGGTTCATGCCATTTTGTGTTACATGATATACTCAATTTCTTCTACAAAATACTTTTCCCTCTTTAAAACTGAAAGAAGCCTGGTGAAGGAGCTTACAGTTGTAATCCTACTTATTTGGGAGGATGAGATTTGGAAGATTGTGGTTCCAGGTTAGCCTAGGCCAAAAAAACTCATGAGACTCCATCTTGACAGATGCTAGGTATGCTGGTATGCGCCTATCATCTTAGCTACTATGGGAAGTGTAAAATAGGAGGCTCATGGTCCAGGCGTGGGCCTGGGGAAAAAATGAGATTCTAT